GTCCATCGTCCTCCTATTTCAAGCTCATGATAGGATCGTCAACTATACAAACATTTTTTTTAAAAACATTTTCCCAACAATACCTAATTATTAGGAACCTCCCCTTTTCTAAACTTGTAATGTTTTCTTGAAATTTTAAATAATTGTTGTAATTTACAAATGAAACTCTAAAAGAAATGATAACTTTCAGAATATCTTATAGTTATCTTTTCATTTTCCTATATAATATTGTTTTCTAAACTAAAAATGAACTAAAAACGCTAAGTGCGTGTGGTAATATTTGAAGAAATATACATTGACATTAATGCAAAAAACCTATCCAATCTATGCGTGAGAATCTTACCGAGCTAGAGCTGGATGAACTTCCAGACCGACGAAGATGCTCTTCAAGCGAGCCATGGTGCTGCTGCCCTGTGGCGGTTGCACCGGTACCGATACCTGCGGCAACTCCTGCTGCGGTGGCAGCGCCAGCGACCGGATGTGATGCTGTGCTAGTAGGGGTAGCGGTTGGGTGCTCTGCAATGTCGCTAGTAATACTCTTCTTATAATGAGGAGTGGAACTAGCAACACCGGTTAGGTGCATGGGGTTACCAAACTCATCAGTGAGCTGGACCGGGTTTCCATGTTCATCGGTTAGATGGATTGGGTTTCCTCGTTCGTCCTTCAAATCCGCCATTGTAAAACAATCCCTTATTGCGTTTTCGTTTCTGATATATATATTTTCTTTTGAGTGATTGTGTATTGTAAGAATATTCGCAAAAGCTTCTTGCAAAAGACTATACGTTTGTGGTCGACCAAGTGTGTTGCATATATATTAGAACATGTTACTCTGCATGGTTACGAGACGTGCCGAGTTTATGTGAAATGTTTTGCCACGCATGAATAGAAAAGAGTACCACGTGTGTTTTCTATATAAATACGTCACGAATCCGACATAATAACGTTTTTCCTTTTTGATAAATTCGATAGACCAACGTTATCATCATCTACTACGGTGTTTTCTAGTATGTTTTATATTATCTTGTAAAGTATTCAGACATATATGTATTGGATTTGATCAAAGACGTGGACCGCTAAACAAGCATATATCATCATCACTTGGTTGCTGTTTTTTTTTTTTTCCAAACTGATTATATTGAGATGTGCCAAAGCCAAATGTACAATACTAACAACCTCCTATGGAGATATCTGAAACTTATACTTTAAAGGCTAACAGATGCCCGATCCAAAAATGGTTTGAAACCAGAAAGACAATACTAAACAGAGGCTAAAACTCTCTCATTCTCAAAAAGATCTTGCAACCATAAGGGACAACCTTGAGCGACACAAGAATGCCAACGATCGTCCTTCACCGCACTATGAGCAATGAGATAGCACCTTTGTTCATTGATGCTTCCTCCACAAGCAATCTCCAATTGACGACTTGGTTGCTGTTTAATTTGAAGTTTCAATTCTTGATGTATCGAAGACCAAACGGTACGAGCTGATTGGGAATCGCAACTTTCTATTATACTCTTTTTCAACCTTAAGTTGCATCATAATATGGTTGGTAACTAATTCCCAAAAGCATTATACAGACGAGATCATAATGCAATCTTCCACATTTGATCTGATGTTTTCAAATTAAGAAGAAACATCATTATCAATGATACAACGTGAGTATCATTAAATAAACAAATATTAAAACATACACTCTTTCTTCCTTTTATTCAACTTTATACTTTCTCTTTCATCTTTTTACTCAATTTTTATTAATTTTATACTCTCTTTAAATATAAAATTATTAAAAATACACTCAAACACATTCATTTGAATATCAAAAGTATCAACTCATTGATACACTCTCTCCAAAACTACCCATTATCTCTTCTTTTTACTCAAATTTTATTAATTTTATATTTCAATACACCTCATTATTTCAACCAAAAACACTCTCTTTCTTCCTTTTATTCAAATTTTAATAATTTTATATTTATTGATACTCATATTGTATCATCAATAATAATGCTCTTAATACGACTCCATGTTAAACACAAACTATATCCCCCAAATTACACCCTGTGATGCCAAGCCTGGTCATTTTTACC